AATAGAGACGGGGTTTCACCATGTTGACCAGGATGGTCTCGATCTCTTGACCTCGTGATCCACCCGCCTCGGCCTCCCAAAGTGCTGGGATTACAGGCTTGAGCCACCGCGCCCGGCCAAATTTAATACTTTCTTATTTTCCTTCTACTGCCTGCAACTGCTATTAAGTCTTCATGTCAGGAGATCTGAATTCTGGTCATGATTCTGCCACTTGTTCTAGTTTTGTGGTTAAGGAGGCATAATTAAATGAAAAGAACAGGATACTGAATCAAAACATTTGTTTTCTAATTCTAGCTCTCTGCTATGTAAGTAGGACCTTGAGCAAGTTACTTCATTTCTGAGTCTATTATACAGTTAGAATAATTATGATGTTTATAATAATAGACATTATGTGTTGGGTACTCACCATATGCCTGGAACTATGCTAGATGTTTTATGTATGTTATCTCACTAATTGCCATAGTAACCCTGCAGAGGAGGTGATATTTTCCCAGTTTTTTTGTTTGGTTGTTTTTTTTTTTGAGACAGAGTTTCACTCTTATTACCCAGGCTGGAGTACAGTGGCGCGATCTCAGTTCACTGCAACTTCCACCTCCTGGGTTGGAGGGATTCTTCTGCCTCAGCCTCCCAAGTAGCTGAGATTACAGGCACCTGCCACCATGGCTGACTAATTTTTTGTATTTTTTGTAGAGACAGGGTTTCACCATTATTGGCCAGGCTGATCTCAAAAACTGGGGACCAGGCTGACCTCAGGTGATCCGCCCACCTTGGCCTCCCAGAGTGCTGGGATTATAGGCTTGAGCCACCATGCCTGGCCCCCAGTTTTAAACACAGGAAATAGGTTTAAAGAAGTTAAGTAGTTTGTATAAGGTGAGGTACAATAAGGTACAGACACTGAGCGTGAATGTCCGAGTCTGTAAGGCTTCAAAGTTCATGCACTTTCTTTTTTCAAATTATTACTGTTTTTAAGAGTAGAAGTCTTGCTATGTTGCCTGAGTTGGCCTTGAATTCCTGGGCTCAAGCCACCCTCATGCCTAAGCCTTCTGAGTAGCTGGGACTGCAGGTGCACGCTACTGTGTCTGGTTTCTTTAATTTTGTATACAGCATTACATTATACAGAATACTTTCTCATGTATAAGTTTATTTAATACTTAATGGTGGTTTTGTTCATTTTGTAGAAATGTGAAACGTGATTCTTAGGTTGAGGGACTTGCCCATTGTCATACATTGAGCAAATGATGGAACTCAGGCTCAAAAACTAGATGTGACTGGTGGTCTTTCTCCTGTATTATATTGCATGGAGTGAAATACTGAGCATATATCCAATATAAACTGTAAAGAGTTAGGGGCTCTTCATGTCTGGGCACTTTTTTCTCATTGCAGACCCTGCACATGGGAGCACTCACCACTACTGATCAGTTTCTCATTTCTTGAACAGGTGTTGATTCTACCAAAATCTGGAAATGAATTGAGTAGTCTGAGTTAGAGATGACTCAGATGTGGCAGTGTCCATCTATGATGGAAGTGTCAGTAGTTCTCTCCTGATCTGAGAGCCAAGTCCCTATGCCAGATTTTCTTAAGTCCACCTGTATTGTGCTGTCTTTTTCCTAACCCCATAGATCTGCACATTTGGCTGGAGATTTTTGGAGGAAGAAGATCTAATTTATAAATAATGCCACAAATGGTGTCATAAATGACCCTTTATTTCTTTTCTTCTTCTTTTTTGTTTTTTTAACAATGAAGTCTTGCTCTGTTGCCTGTGCTGGAGTGCAGTGGTGGTCCAAACTCTGGTCACTGAAACCTCCACTTCCCGGGTTCAAGCAATTCTTCTGCCTCAGCCTCCCAGGTAGGTGGGACTACGGCACCTACCTCCACGCCTGGCTAATTTTTGTATTTTAGTAGAGACGGGGTTTCACCATGTTGGCCAGGCTGATCTTGAACTCCTGACCTCGTGATCTACCTGCCTCAGCCTCCCAAAGTGCTGGGATTATAGGCGTGAGCCACTGTGCCTGGCCTACCCTCTATTTCTTTGAATCCTGAGTCTTATTGCTGAAGTAATGGTGAAGCTTATAGGGCAGGCTTTGCGATTTCTGTGGAGGGTTGGATGAGAGTCGTTACATAGGAATTTCCAGCAAAGCATAAAGGACTATGTAAATATTCTTGATGTGACAATATATAAAGACATCTTAGTTATCAGTAGTGATATTTAATGATATATCATGCTACAAGTAATGTTTGTGATATCCTAGAATGGAATTGTATATTTACTGATTATTGTTTCTCCAGTGTTTTCCCATAAGTGTATTTTAATATTTGTTGAGTTTAAGTCAATAAATCCAAACCTCTGGAATCCATACCTCTGTATTAATAAAGTTGTACTATTTTGCTTGCATGATTATGTTATTTTCAATATATTGTAGCATGTTATTCCCTGTCAACTGGAAGTCACTTTGGAAGGTGACTGTTTTGTATTGGTTTTGCCTTTTAGTTTCTCCTCAAAAAGTGAAATAAAGGGCTTATCTTTTTGCTTTTAGGAAATGCTGAATGTTCATGATCATTATCAGAACATGAAACATGTAATTTCAGTTGATAAGTCTAACCCAGATAAAGCCCTCAGCTTGATAAAGGATGATTTTTTGGACAATATTAAGAACATAGTTTTGGAGCATCAGCAGTGGCACAAAGACAGAAAGGTATGTAATCACTTGTTTGGTGCCTCACCATTGCGTTATACATGAATGTTTATCCATAGATGATAATGTTGAGAGGCAGCCTAGCTTTAGAGGCTGTAATCCTGTGGACCTAAGATTTAGAGGGCTTGGCTTTTCATGTTCTACTTTTGCCACTTATTAGGTATGTGATGTTATTTAACCTTACAGGTGGAGTGCATATATATGTGTGTGTATGTGTGTGTGTATGTGTGTGTGTGTGTATATATACGTGTATGTGTATGTATATGTGTGTGTATATATATATATTTTAAATAGAAGAGTAATGTAACTTTTTTATACAATAGATTTATTACAGTCTTTATAATTTGGCATTTTCTAAGGGTTGCACATTATCAGTCTTTAGGCAAAATCCTGCACACAGATATGTTTTGTTTGGCGTAGTGTTGATTCTAACATTTTTTAAAAATTTTGAGTTAATTACCAACTTTTAAGCATTTTTAAACTTCACCTAAAATTCTAGACATACAACTTCTCTTAAAATTCAGAAGGATTCCACTTAGCTGCATGACAGCAGACAGTGGGACCTGAGTGATGGCTTTTTCTATTGTGATAGGGCAGGTGTTTTTCTGTTTACACATTGTCTACCTGGTGTGGTTTATCTTTTTGCAAGTCTCATCAACACAGATCTTCAACTTAGTTTATTTAACTAAAGGTATTGATGCTAGAGTTACCCATATTTCACATTAGCCTTTTCAGCTAGAGAAACTTTTTTACCCTGGAAACCTAAAAGCTAGCCTAGTGAAATTTACTTTTGAAACAGTTATTCTATCTTACTTTAGTAAATACTTCCAGGAAAAAAATTTTTAAAAGGAAGCAATTTCTGATTACTTACTATGTGTCTTGATAATGTTTTGGTGTTTTCACAGATGCCACTCAGGTGTTATCTATATATTGTCTTTCAGAAAGATTTCTTGCCACTTTTTCACTTTCTATTATATAAAGGAAGCCGGCTCAAAACTTAATTTTAGAAAAGATAAACAAGGAAACTGATAAGAAGATGATAGTCTTGGGAAAAAGAAAATAACTTTATTCCTCTACATTTATTGTAATAAGAGATGCCAAGTTTTAGAAACAAATAGATTATACAAATGAATTAGACATTTAATGTAAAAAAGTGTTAGTATTATTTGTATGCGTATAGACAAGGCCTTGCTGTGTCACCCTGGCTGGAATACAGTGGCATAACTACAGGTCACTGTAGCCTTGACCTCCGCTGCTTAAGTGATCTACCCACCTCAGCCTCCTGAGTAGCTGGGTTTGCAGGCATGTGCCACTGTGCCCAACTGATTTTCTTATTTTTTTGTAGAGAGAGGGTCTTGCTGTGTTCCCAGGGCTAGAACCAGCTTAACTTTAAGTTTTTTTGTAGAGATGGGGTCTTGCTGTGTTGCCCAGGCTGATTTGGAACTCCTGGCCTCAAGCAATCATCCCACCTCAGCCTCCCAAAGCATTAGGATTACAGGATTAGCCACCATGCATAGCCAGTATTCTCTTTTAAAAGGTAAACTCTGTTCAAAGAGTATTACTATGACCTCTGAAAACCTGAAGGAAAGGAAAACAAGCCAGTTTTCTTACTACCACATAAGGTTCACACTGTCTTTCATTAAGTTAGGAGGATTTAAGCAATTTAATGATGAATTGTACAATATTTTGAAACCTGTGATCTTAATGTTAGGTTGTATATACTGTACCGCAATAACGTGAATGATCTTTTAGTTTTTCATTTATTAAAAGTAATGGATTCTCGCCGGGTGCAGTGGCTCACGCCTGTAATCCCAGCACTTTGGGAGGCCGAGGCGGGTGGATCACGAGGTCAAGAGATCGAGACCATCCTGGTCAACACGGTGAAACCCTGTCTCCACTAAAAC